TGGCCAACTCACGACGAAATGTTGCTATTTTTCCGGTGTGGTTTCTACGACTACGACCGGGCGTGCTGCGGGAGGCACCTTTTGTTGTTGTTGTTTTGAATTCTTTCGCGTTATTGATTTGTTGTGCTCTGTTTTAGGCTTAAAATGATTGCGGTTGTGCTCAGCCGATTTCTAGAGGTCTTTTTATCTTTGGCGCCAGAAATTATTTCTTTTTTACATTCTTTTTCCTTTTTTATTTTATGCCCTGCTGTTGTTTTGCTTCTTAGTTTTTCTACCCCTTTCAACCGCCAAAAAGGCATGAGCACGAAGAAGTCAGTGATACCGCTGGATGTGCTCCGCAACTGTAGGGGAAAGGTGGTGTCGGTGGAGTTGGCGAACGGAGAAACGATCAATGGAACCGTGATGCGGGTTGACAGGTTGATGAATTTGCTGCTGAAGCAGTGCATCCGGACAGGCGCTGAGGGAGACGTTTTTTGGAAGTCGCGTGAATCACTCATACGAGGCGCGAGTGTACGAAACGTGCGAATGGACGAGCGGGCATTGGTGATGCCCGAGGCACGCGCAGCAGTGAGGAATAAGTCACGCCCGGACACGAAGAAACAGGCCACAGGTGGTAAGAAAAGAGGTCGAGGCGACTAGGCATTTTTGTTTAGCGGCTAATACGACCTTTTTGTTGTTGTTGTTCTCTATTTCTCTCTCTCTCTCTCTGTGTGTGTGTGGTTTTGTGCCCTTTTTTCTTTTATGGATGCTTGTGTTTGCTGTGTTACTTTGTGTGTGAGAGAGGAATCTTGCTACTCCCTCTTTTTTTTTCCTTTTCTATGGGGGTGTCGTTGTGAATTTGTCCCCTATTTCTCCTTCCTGTGACGGCAGTGTCTGTATATAGAAGTCCTTAAACAGTCGTTATTAAGATATGGATTCAAAGGGCCGGAGCGGGAAGAGTAATTTGCTCGGGCGGGGAAATGTTTTGATGAGCGGGGCTAGTGCAAATAGCAATCAGCATCCTTACGGACGTCGTCATGTGAACAGCGCGGGCGGTGTGTTGACCAACGCCTTTGTTGCATCACCGGCTTCACTTTACAGCACCCCTCAACCTCTTGACCCGTTCTGTCAACACTTGCCGGACGCCTTTCCCTCCACCCCGTACACGCCCGTGGGCCAATTGTTTATGTCTGCTTCTGTGAGGAGTGCAAGACCGAATGCCTCCTTGTTGATGCATTCAACGACACGCAGCATCACTCCCGTAACAAGCTCAAAGTTTTCCCACTACACGACAATATACAACATTGAGAATATGCCAGCGCCGAGTGTAATGAATTCGAAACTAATGACGCAAATGTATCAAACAACAGCTCGTTATACAGGAAAAGAAATTGCCTTGCGCCGTCTTGTGATGACCACCGCAACTGCAGAAGAGTGCAGTGCCGTTAATGAACGCTTTCGACACTACCGACATCCCAACTTAGTTCCATTAACGGGTGTGATTCTCACAGATGAGTTTGTTATGGGTAGCAA